CCCCCCCCCTTTTCTTTTTCCTAAACATTTACTCAATACCATTAGGCAAAAACTGTTTTAAATAATGGAGATACAAATAAGAATTCACAACACAGCTGGAAAGATTGGGTGCCAGACTACAAGAAACTGAGCCTGCAAGCCTCTCGTATTTCACAGACTATGAACAATGAACAACCTACTCCTGTGTGCTGATTAGACGGTGAAAAACAGATACATAAATACTCAAATAAAAACATTTTAAAAAGCAATTACTGAAAACCATTTTTACACACATCTGACAGTCTTATCAATCTATTTCAAGAGGTAGACAAAAATGATTCTGTTTCTGATCCACCCAACTGTAGATTACGTGAGGAACTGTAGGTTACCAGGGGGATTGCCTGAGTAATCCACCACACGGTCAGAACAGCGAACTTCACTACAAAGCCTAATAAAATATAAAAATGCAAAACATAAAAATTCCTCCTGTACCCTTAAAACCTGTAATTTTATTAACCAATGTCGCCCCAATAAATTCAATTTAAAAAACTCCTTCTTTCCATACTGTTCATGGGGGAAAAGTTTGTTGAAAATTTCATTTAAAGGTACTGAAGAAAAAATACTTAATAAATGGATATAATTCTATGAGCCAGCTTACAGAGACTTTTGTACGGCTATTTAAGTCACAGGCACATAACATTCAACCCTGCAGTTGGTAAAACCTAAAATCAGCAAGTACCACAGCTTATTTTGCATCTCACTTTTAATGAGAAGTTGTTTAGAGCAGTAGGACCTCCCTTTTTTCTGTAAGAACTGCCATCGCTCCCTCACTGAGAAAGGGAGAGTACCCACTCACACTCCTCCTATAGATCTTAATTATGTTACTGAGTGAATCTATTTTCCTATTTGCCACTAAAAATATTTAACAAGCATTTTAAATGTCATACCATTCAAATTACAAAATATTATCATTATCCTAACAATGAATGTAAGGATCCAGATATAAAAGCATATACTTTATTTTGAAAATTGTATCTCAGGCTTTCTGTGAAGCAGAAGTGGAAATTGTTTCCTCCAAGTGAGAAACAGAGAATGGTGACTACTATTTTGCAACAGCACCTCCAGTCCCATAAAAGAAGGCTGACCCAAAGGCCTTACTTCAGGTCCTGCAGAAGGTCCTTCGCGTTCAGCATGGTGATCAGAGAGGTGGTGGCTGCTGGGATGATGATGATTGGGGTTCGGGATCCTGCAAAGACAAAATTTTAAAGGTGGCAAATGTGTTATTAAAAGGAATTAAAATAATTACTTTCCCAATCAAGAGCTTATAAATTTAACACTTTGTCAGCAGTGATATTCAAACTACTTAATAATCGACATGACCTATACACTGAGTAACCTGACAGATGCCAGGCACAAGCACTCATGTAAGTGCACAGGCTCAGTATCCGCTGATTCTGCAATCCAGCTTATTCATGCTTACTCTTTAAATAAGTTTAGAGTCATATGCACAATCTCACCTTTCTTCTGATTAGGGGGAGGTCTTGCTTGAGAAACTGTAAGAGAAAAATAAAAAACAAACTTTTGAATGTTATAAAAATCACATTATTTTCAAGCTTGAAAGGCAAGTAAAGCCTAGAAGTTGTGTGTAATTATAGATGACTAGCTTGGCCAAGGCCATTAACCACAGTCTGCACTGGAGCTACTTAAAGTATGAGTGGTCAAGGATGAGGGTTTGTTTTTTAGTTCCCAATCCAGGGTCAGCTGAATAAGGCAGTGCGATGAGCTGCTGCAAGACGGCGGTGATCCTGGATGCTGTGAGCACCGTGCGCTCCACCTCCAGGTGCATCTTGTAGGGGACCAGAGACTAAGTCACAGACTGACGCTGTACGTAATCAATTTAAAGCTATGGAATGGGGCACTCCCACCCACGCCTAGGTTATGCAGTGGGGGACTAAACAGCGTAAGAAACCCGTTGACATACACAGAGGGCTAACTCTCAACCTCACATGAGCAGTGAGCAGGTCACCTAGAGCCGTACGCGACTTCCCCATTCCGGAAGATCTAAGCAGTGAGGTTAGGAACTAGAGCTAGAGAACTGGAGTGTGTGTGCGTACGTGTGTGTGCACCAGAAAAAGTGGGAGGGGGAGTGATATGGGCGAGAGCAGTCGTCTGGCTGAAAAAGGATTACGACTAGTCACAGGCCTGTGCTTCTTAATCCACTGGAAACTGTGCACCCCGTTAGTTACAGCCCCTGCCTTTGCTTGACACATTTAATAAAAAATGATTATAGAACCTTGTTTTTTAAATAACACAGACATCTGAAATTCTAAGCCTCAAAGCTGCATACCAGTCTATTAAAATTATGGCTTTATGCTTTTAGTAGGGGAGAAAAAAAATCACATCCGCATGCCCCATCAGGGAGTTCAAACAAGGAATTGGTGAAGGGATACTACATATACACGACTTTTTAAAACATTTTTCTAAAATTTTAAAATCTTTTTCTTAAAAATTTTCTTTAGTTCTTCAGCTATACCCATTGTTAAGTAAACGTTCTTATGATATTACTTCAGAAGTATTTTAAGTAAAATTTCAATTCCTTCAGAGCATTATAAATATAAAAAAAATTTCACTCTTGTGATCATTTAGGAAAAATAGAAAGGTTTATGTCTTCACCTGGTCTTGGCACTGGCTGTGCCGCAGGAGTCTGAGTCTTGCGGGCCGATGCACCCTCCTTTAAAGAATGAGAAATGACATATGGATATATGACGGCGAAGTCTCTTCACATAATAAACACTTTCATTTAATCACTGCAAATAAATTTATCTTTTTTGTCTCTAACTCAGTCACCCCAATGAACATGCTATAATTGATCCTAAGGGTTTAGTTTAGTTTGTGTTTTTGTTGTTTTTTTTTTAAAAAGCACCTTTCCTTATGTTTTATGCTACTGGTCATGAAATGGAAATAGAAATCTTAAGTGGGAAATGAATTTAAAATTGTTACCATACAGTAGTTATTATGAGCATGTAGTATTTCTCAAATACTCAATGATTTGAGTAATTGCTGACAATTTTAACATCTCAGAAATGTCATTATCATTTTTTAAATCAAGTCAATCTTTTTTCCCTTAAACAGTCGCAAAATGAATAATACATAACCTCACATTAGAAAGATGTAAACAACATTACTTTGCATTAAAAACCACAAACACAACATATTAAATGCCTCTAAAATATTCAGGGAAAATAAAATAATCCCATTTATAAGGATGGTATTTGTTGTATTTAAGGGTGATTGAAAATATATTAAGAACTGAATAAAAAATCTCAACTAATTACTAAGCATGTGATATATACAAGACAATGCGCTAAGTGTTGAATTTTACCAATTATTTACTCAGGAGGAGATGACTCCGAAATATTTAAGGCACTTAAAAAGTTGTCCATCTTTAAGTGCATTAGTTTCAATCACATTCACACTAAATTTTTCATCAAAACAGTTTCCTTAAAGAAATTTTTAAAAATGTATGATAACATGTATTTCAATCTGTGCATCTCAGACCTGATTACACCAGGAGACTAGTAAAGTGATCAGATACTAGCACCTGCACATAAACCAGAGTGAGTTTGACAATCACAATGCCCACAGGTTTCTGAGCTGGTGGTTCCTTTACCATGAGCATCATTCCCACAGGTAACATTGGGTGATCAAACAGCCAAGTTCAGAGCAAAGTGAGATACACTCCTCCCTCCCACCCTCCATATACACTGTAGTAATCCCTACAAAACTTTATGAAATGGATGCTGTATCCCCATTATGTTTTAGTTTGTTTAAATTATGAAGGCCTTTCGTCCACACACGAGTATCTACTGGTCCTGCATTTACTATTAGATCTATACCTGATTCATCATGTAATGACCACTCAAAAACTATGAACTATTCTGTATCCAGGAGAAACTGAGACCTAGAAGGCGTGAACATGAATAAAGGAAACCTCACTTGAAACTGAAGTCAGAAGGCCCTGGGGGGGAGGGCTCACACACGGCCACCCACAGCTATCTGCCACCACCCTGGACTCCCACTTTCCTTCAATGGACTTGCATTGAAAGCACCCTCTCCCAACTTCCCCTTTTCCCTGTAAAGTTCCTCTCCTTGTTCTCTGGATGTGCCTATGGTTTGTCATAGTTTTCATGTCCCAAACTGCAATTCTTCTGCCATTCCAGAATAAACTCATTTCTGCTAGTAAAATAGCTTGCTGTTTTAGTGTTAAGGGTGACAGAGGCACTGCATGCCCCGTCTTTAAATCTGACTCCTTGAGGGCTATTCTAGACAGGCCCCAGAAAATCCTAAAACCAACTGGGACAGCTCTGGCTATTACGCTGTAGAAATGACGTCCCATTTTCCCATAGGGGACAAGTTATAGATTAAAAAGTAGACATATGCAGGTAAAAATTACAAGACAGTTATACATAACTATAAAACTTAACAAAATAGCTGCCAGTTTGCTGAGTCTCACAAAAAAACTTGTCACATTTACTGAGAAAGTTTAAGCATAGAATTCAGATGTTAAAGGGAACTAGACTAAAAGGAAACGTTTGACAAGCTTGCCTGTCACAGGATTTTTACAGATTTTCTTGGCTAGAAACATGAAGGTTGCTAGAAAAAGTCACTAAAGGAACCTTTATCTCGAGCCTGCTCTGTTTTCTGTACCAGCGTAACTTAAACTTAGACAACAGAAGGCAGGTGTGCCCAAAGAGGAAAGTAAATTCTGATCACGCACACGGGCCCCTTTTATTAGTTTTCAGGAATCTCTCTGCTGTATAAACACTTGCCCCATAGCAAGCACAGTTGATTGACCACCTGCTGGGCATTTAGGGGCTCTGGACAATACTGAAGGTTCCTAACTAGCCAGCAGGTAACCTCTAGATCCCAGTGGGACATCAAAAAAGAGTCCAATCAAAAAACTGGCAAAAAAACCTGTTTTACCCTTCCTGGAGGCGGGCCAGGGAATGTGGCTAAGCCATCTTTGTATCCCTAATGTAGTAAGTTGTGCCTCCTGCAAATGCTGACATGGTAGTTGATAAATGTGTTTGCTGAACAGATGAATGGTACACCTATGAATGTTTCTGGGAATGCTGGCCCACCGTCTCTCCAGCAGTGCCATGCAGCACGGCATGAAGGTTGAGAATGGAGCTTAAGGACTGACATAACCTCGTCTTAACCCCTAGCCAGAGTTTTCCTCATCACCGCTTAGCTATTATTTGGGATAATTATTTTATAACTCTAAACACGGTTCCTCATCCTCAAATGGGTATTACAATGAAACTATTATGAGCAAAAAAGCCATTTATATAACATCTCAGGTAGCATCCACTCTGACTTTGGGTTAACATTCAGTAGGTCACTGCTGCTGGCTACACAAAGCCTGTGTAAGGGATTCCTGATACAAATGATCTACTGAAATCAACTTCTACTTCTGTAAAGTGAGTTATTCTTTTTTTATATATATAAACAACAGAAATGTATTTCTCACAGTTCTAAAGGCTGCAAAGTCCAAGATCAAGGCACCAGAAAGTTTAGCATCTGATAGAGCTCCTTCCTAGTTCATAGATGACCATCTCCTTGTGTCCAAAAATGGCAGAAGAGGCTAGGAAGCTCTTTGGGGTCTTTTTTTTAAAGTTTCTTTATCTTTACTGTTGAAAATATTACAGATGTTCCCTTTTCATCCCCATTGATCCGCTCCACCCCGCATCCATCCCACCCCGAGGCTTTCCCCACAGACACTGGTATGGGGAAAGTAATTCTAAGTAGGCCCTGGAGCATGGCTCTGCTACCCAAATTAACCAAGCAGTGTGAGCATGTAGTGTGGTGGACAGAAGAGCTAAGTGCAAAAAAACCCCCACGGGTTTAGCCCAAAAGGCTCTGTTTGGGTTCCATCAGGGCACATGCCCAGGTTGTGGGTGTGATCAATGATCAAACCAATCAGTGTTTGTCTCTCACATTGATGTTTCTCTCTCCCCCTTCTCCCTTCCTCTCTCTCTAAAAAAAACCCAATAGAAATACATCCTTGGGTGAGGATTTAAAAAATAAAATAAAATCTAACAAAACATGACTCTTTCACATGCCCTATTGTTGTTCTTCCTCCATGTCACTGTACTTCCTGATCCTCAATCACCACCCTTAGAAATAAAATTTAATAAGAGCGGCTTTCAGATTCATTTGAACACTTCTTGTATCTGAATTTTATGTTTCTGAACAAAATATGGGAAAGTAATTGTGTAACTAAATTGCTTGTGGACTTTAGATTCTTCTTTGATACTGAAAAGTAATAAAGTGACTAAAATTAATCTCTAGCACCTCAATTTCCTCATAAACTGACATGTGACAATAAAAAAGTACAGGGAATGTAAATTTATATTTGAAATAACAGACATCACTGTGGGATGACAGGTGGGATCAAGGGTATATATGACCACAAACATAGCTTAAGCTCCAAAACTAAATTTCTGGGAGTTAATGCCCCTAAAGTCTGAGAAAAACTGACAATTCAAGCTATTAAAAAACAAAAACCACAATGCTCAATACTCTGCAGAAAAAAGAGAAGTAAGGTGCCCAGGAGACTTAACATACAAAGAACTATTTGAATATCTAGTGCTTACTAAAAAATCTACTTGAGAGCCAGTCACTACCCCATCCTGAAAGACCAGGACAAGTAAGTATGATTAGAAAAAGCTAACCCCCCACTCAGAAGACCCTACAGAAGTGTGCCGTGTCTACCACGTCATTTTGTTGAATGCTGTCATACAGGTAATTTTAGAGGGGAAAATAAAAAATAAATGCTCACATTAAAAAGTGATTGAAAGTAAAGTCTTGCTTCCTTCAAGAACATTAGAAGCCACATAAAAAAAAAAAATAGGTGAGCTGTATCCCCCCGTGTCAGTAAAGTAACCCAGGGCAGCTGATTTATAGAACCCCCAGAAGATTGAGGAGGGGGGCTGAGTTACAGATAAAAGGAAATGGCCCATGAGTCTAACCAGGTATTAGTAAAAGCAAGGCAACTTGAGGAAAAAAACTTCCGGGGAAGGAGTGCACTGAAGGGGTTAAATTAGATCCAGTTACACATAAAAGCTTACTCTTATGCCCTATAAAACCATGTAAAAAAAACCACCAAAATCAACATCCAACACTGAAAACATTTAGAAAGCCTGTGCTTAAGCATAAAGTTAAAAAAAGGAAAAAGGAAATAAGATAAAAAATAAAACTATAACCACCCATTTCATAATCACCCCATTTTCACATTACTCACTCATCACTATACTGGACTGAACACCTAGCACACAGAAGCAGAAGCCCTGAGCTTCCCCTACCTTAGGTTTTCAGTCCAAATTAATGCAAACAGTCACGTGGGACTGAGCCAGGCAGTGACGCTGAATTCTGCTCTGTCAGAGAGAACATCTGTCAAGCCCACATCGAAACTGCCGCTGCCTGGCCAGCAGCTGAGGAAGCGTGCATTTCATATCACAGGCTGAACCCCAGCAAAACGCCTCATAATCCTCCCTGCAGCTGCCAGGCAACCGCGAGGGAGCCTCAGCCTGTCCTCCCGGCACGAGGGAAGCGCGCTGCTCTGCTGAGGCAGCTTCCCACTGCAGCTCCGTGTCGCCACTGGAAACATGGATACTGAGCAGGGAAGACAGCTCTGCATTGTCCGGCCCAGCAGACAGCAGCTGTAGAGCTTCGACGCATCAGCGCCGGGAAAGTCAGCCTGCCCCCAACAGAGCAGACGACTACAGCCCTTTTGTTCAAAAACCGAGAAAATGAAAGAAAGGGAAAGCCTCAGAAGACAAGCATCCACATGAAGGAGGAGGGTGCCTGGAAGGCAGGAGACAGGTAGGACCTTGGATTCCGAGAAAAGCAGTTGCAAGAGGCAGACCACTGGGGGATGTGCGCATGGTCGATGGCACCTTTTTGCTGAAGGGATGGAGTCAAAAGTGTGTTCAGTCGGCATAACCCTCCACATAGAAACGGCCTGACGAGGAAGGTATGTCCATGTCTGTGTGATAGTCTCTTAAATGTCTGCTACCTGAACTGTGCAGCCCTGGAGGCACCTGAATGGGCTTCTGAATATATGGTTTTACAATGTGTCATTGTTTGGAAGACAAGCTGCCACTGCTTTATTCCAGGGAATATGCAGCTTGGAGTCATTCTGGATTATAGGCGTACAGGGGAGGAAAGGCAAATAGTAACAGGATGTGCTTTATTAAAGGGTTCTATGAGAAATTAAAACTTAAAAAAAAATCTGTAGCCCTCTGAGAAAACACGGCAACCCTCTGCCAAATTAGGTCAGACGGGTCCTCATCTACTGAACTCCAGGGCTCCCTCAAAAATGGCTATCGGCAGACAATGCAGTGAGGTTACACTAAATAGTATCAGAGACGGGCTAAACATCAAGAGCTTTCTTCAAAGTCCTTTTAAAACAAAATCTTAATAAATAGCAGCTTGTGGTAACAAAGTCTTCCCTCCAAAACCCATCTGCCCAGATGGAGATAATGACCCGAGGGCGTCAGCAATGTGAAGTGTCACCAAGCCGTGAGGACTGAGTGTGTGCTTAGCAGAGCTCCACAGCAGATTTGCATGTCCCAGTGCCCGTGAAAACAACTTTGAAACAAAGAAACACCAATGGTGGCTGCAAATTCCCCATCTAAAACAGTGGGCTTGGATTTTAAGTAACAAACTGATTCTAAATGATCAAATGTAAGGTTGTTCTTGGTGGTCATTTTTAAAGTGAAATTCCAAAACATAGTATGAAAACACTTTGATATAAAAATATCCATAAACAGCACTACAAGGTGAAAAATTAAATATAAATCCAGCCACTGTGCTTCCAGGCTATGCCATGGCCCATTTGCAGGGCAGGAATAAATCTAAAAGCAACCACCACAGTTACAGTAACAGTTCATGATTCAGGAGCTAAAAGGTATTTCTAAAATTTTTAAAGATCCATCAAAGATCTTAATTCTTGCTCACTTTCGCAGCAAAACTCAATAACCTATTATTGCATAATCGTAAAAGGCAAACATTTTAAGACATATGTAAGCACGCCACTCTAAAACTAAGATTAAACAAGTTTTATCGGGCCCTGTTATTATTACATCTCAACATCGACTCTCATTCATACCATGAATTTTTATTCCACTTAAGAATGAAGTCAGATGGTATTAAAAAAATATGGTTGTAAAAATCTCTAGTCTCTCTTAGTGCCTTTCTCTCTCAATGTTTAAGTCATCAATTAAACATTCTTATAAGCTAGATATCTCAACAGTGTAGAATTTTCTACTCAAGCTCTACTCAAATCTAGGACTGTTTCAACAGACTAAAGACATCAACACTTTTAAAAGACAAAAGATAAAAACTGTGTGTGTGTACATTAATAACTTGAAAGTATTATCATAAAAATCACATAGGAGATAAATCAAAGCTATTTCTATGCTGGAAACCTAAAAATGCAAAGCCATTTACTGTGCCAAACCATTTAACCTTCTCGTCTCGTTTCCACTCTGTCAGAAATAAAATACAACAGGCAATAACTCGAGAATAATTTTACTATGTAATAAAAGGGTGCAATTTTACTTTATTTTTAACAGAAAAATTATAACTCGAGAAACCTAATAAAGAACATCTAAGGCTAGACACACGACTTTTATCAGTGGGAGGATAACAAAGAGAGGGGTGACTCCAAGCTTGAGCAGCTCGGTATTTACAAACACAAACCCCATGAATTTACATTCAGATGCACCTCCATCACCCACTGCTACAAAACCACAGAGAACCATAAACCATGCACTTATGCTGGGTTACAATGTATAATAATTTGCTGGTTTCTGCAACAATGAAATACTTCAGAGATATCACTTCAGGTGTATTATACTCATAAAAACACAATTTCTCTATCTTCACTCCCTTCTTCAGTCCTTTACTCAAACATTCATTCAAATATCTGGCTTTATATTTATTACTTCTTAAACTATCAAATTCACACTTTAAAAGATCTCAATGATTCTTCAATCAGATTCCAAGCATTATTATAGCAACAGAAAACTGATATGTTTACTCTAACTTTGGAATATTTAAAATAGATTATCAAATAAATTTTAAAGGCCAATTTTGTCTCTTTTAAATTTATACCTATACCCCTTCTATCTGCTAGCTTAATGGAATGGAGAAAAATCCTTACTATTTATCAAATATTTCATTTTAAAATAAAAACTCAGAAAGATTTCTCAGTCTGAACAGACTGGCCAACTACTTACAGTACAAGGAGGGGGAAAGTGAGTTTCTAAATCAGAATACTCAGCTCTGTTATTTCCTGTTAGCTCACTGCAGAAGTATGTTTTACTGGTAAAATGAATAGCCTTGGTCTTCATTATAGTAATGTAAGATTAAAATTCATGTAAATGAACTCTAATAAATAGCAAACTAAATTGTTTTTAAAACCCCAAACTTAAAAAAAAAACCCCACAATTTATATCTCACAAAATGATTAACTTCCTACCATAACCTCTAAAAGTACTACATAATTTTAGATAACAGAAATTATCAAAACCTGGCGTCTGCGCTATAATATTACACTTTAGAAATTTGTTCAAATTCCCAGCTACTTTGCTCCCCCTAGTGGTTGTGACTAGGTGTACTTTCATATATGTATGTCTAACACTTTCCATCAATATTTTCAAAGTACTTCACATTATATATGTTAATTTTACTCTGATTATTGAGTTATATAAGGACTTTATTTCCCCCAAAATAAATAAATTTCATGTCAGAGTTAAGCAGATTTGGTATTAACCATAAATCTCTCAATATCACAGGATAACAGAACACATATATCAATGTCTACATTATCATTTCAAATAAAACAAATGGCCCTAGATTAAATTTTTAACTGACTAGTTTTATTCTGCTTAAAGAAGTAACTTTCACAATTAAAAACTTGAAAAAAAATTAAAATTACATATTTATTAGTCTCCTCAAGAAGTTTTTTCTCTTACTACAATTCAAGCTACAGCTCCTTTATCTATCCACCCCTACCCCAGGCCCTGATTCAGAAAAACTAAGGACAAGCTGAAACCTTGATCCAAGATAACACAGCTGGTTCTTCATGTGCGGTGTCATGAAGCTCCCACAGTGACAACCATAATCTTGTCAAAAATCTAGAGCTTAAATGTCATGCTAGCAAGAGTCCTAAAAACAGAACAAATTCTCAACATGCAGATTCAGAACACAGCGTAGCCTGAGAATCTCTAAAATGCATTTTGTGAAATTTAACATTTTAAACAGCTAGATGTGACAGTAAGTACCCTGTAGTGCCTATATTTTGTGAAAAGACTGTTCAGAGTAGTTCTTTGTTTGGTTCTAACATGGAGACTAAGTGGGACATGTGATAGTGTCTGCCAAGGCCACAGATAACTAAAGATATAACTAGTTGCTATATTTTTAAAAAAATCAATCTTAAGTCTAAGTAGGGATAATGTCTCCTGAATGCCTCATATTTGAAGTGAGGCTAAAACTAGGAAAGAGTGTTGGCACTGTTCATCATTTATTACTGTCGTAAAATCCTGCACTGAAGTTACTGGACCCTGAAAATTAATTGTGACAGGTGCATCTTCTCATTGACTTTCTCAGCACAGTGGGGGCCGATGGAAACATGCCAGGCAGTGTACTGTGACTAACAGACCTCGGCCATAATCAACCTTGCACTGTCTGTCCCACGACTGTTACACGACCATTTTACACAAAAGGCCGCTGACTGTGCACAACCAGCAATAGTATGTCAAATCAGTTTTAATTAATGCCAATACAGTTTCCATCTGCTCCCAGGCCTTCTTTCATGGCCTCTCAGAAATCTAGTAACAATGCTTTCTTCTGCATGCATACAACTTTTAAACCTTTAACCTAGATCCACAGTTCATCTGGCCAGAGCTACTGAGATACCGAAAGGGAAGATTAGTTACCCATCACCTCTCTTTAAAGTGCTCGCTGGGTTACAAAGGTATATTTTTAAAGAGGTTAAATCCTGCTCTCAGTGATGCTATGTTGCCAAGGGAAAACAAGTCATAATCTTTGTTCCTCCATGATATTTTCACAGCTTCAAAATTCTTATCTGCCCTAATCTTATTAGCACCCAAACTCTATTTTAGGCAGTTCTATAACACTCAGCATTTTGGAAACTTATATGCTTTATCTTTATAGAATGACTGCAAGAGGGACAGCGTGACCGGACTGGAAAATGATGACCAAAAAAGAGGACTGACTCAGTGGAGGCAAACAGTGCGCTCGGCCCCAGGGTCTCCTCCCCACCTCGGTTGTTTCCAACATGCTGCAGTGGAGGAGGCGGCACTGCTGCTGGGCCAAGCGGTCTCTGCTCAGGACCCCCCTCATTGGTGCGCTTTCCCTGCTGTTTCTTTTTGCCATGTTGCTGTTCTTCAATCACCATGACTGGCTACCAGGCAGAGCTGGATTCAAAGAGAACCCTATGACCTACACTTTCAGAGGATTTCGTTCTGCAAAAAGTGAGACAAACCACAGCTCTCTTCGCAACATTTGGAAAGAAACCATCCCTCAAACTCTGAGGCCTCAAACTGCAACCAACTCCAATAACACAGACCTGTCACCACAAGGAGTGACCGGGTTGGAGAACACACTCAGTGCCAATGGGAGTCTTTACGATGAAAAAGGTACTAGGCACCCAAATTCTTACCACTTCAAGTACCTTATCAATGAACCTGATAAGTGCCAGAAGAAAAGCCCATTTTTAATCCTACTAATAGCTGCAGAACCTGAACAGATAGATGCTAGAAGAGCTATTCGGCAAACGTGGGGCAACGAGAGTTTAGCCCCTGGTATCCAAATCACACGGATTTTTTTGTTGGGCATAAGTATTAAGTTTGATAACTACTTTCAACATGAAATACTAAAAGAAAGCAGAAAATATCATGATATAGTTCAACAGGAATATTTAGATACCTACTATAACTTGACCATTAAAACGCTAATGGGCATGAACTGGGTAGCAACCTACTGTCCACATATTCCGTATGTTATGAAAACTGATAGTGACATGTTTGTGAACACTGAGTATTTAATACACAAGTTACTGAAGCCAGACCTGCCTCCCAGACATAACTACTTTACTGGTTACCTAATGAGAGGCTACGCGCCCAATCGAAACAAAGACAGCAAATGGTACATGCCACCGGACCTCTACCCCAGCGAGCGCTATCCTGTTTTCTGCTCTGGGACTGGCTACGTTTTCTCGGGAGATCTGGCTGAGAAGATATTTAAAGTCTCTTTAAGTATTCGTCGCTTGCACTTGGAGGATGTCTATGTAGGGATCTGTCTTGCCAAGCTGAGGATTGATCCCGTGCCCCCTCCCAATGAGTTTGTGTTCAATCACTGGCGAGTTTCTTATTCGAGCTGTAAATACAGCCACCTAATTACCTCTCATCAGTTCCTGCCCGGTGAACTGATAAAATACTGGAACCACTTACAACAAAATAAGCACAATGCTTGTGGCAACATAGCAAAGGACAAAGCAGGCAGGTATCGCCACCGCAGAGTACACTAGAAAAGACGAATTGTTTTTCACACGTGCAATCTGTAAAATACTGCTCAAAGCATGTAGAGTTAAAACTGATTATTACCATAGGACAAGTTTCAGTCAACACTCATCACATGAAAGAATTCCAAAAATATTTTTTAATTTCTGAAGAGGGTAATTCTTAAAAATACATTATATAACCAAAAGATATCCCGAGGGGATCTATACAGATCCGTAGGGGATTCTGTGTATTAACATGCAATAACAAGCATGCATATGTCAGTGGTTTGAGTCTCAAGTCGGGGCCAATAAGATGCATTTACCTACGTTTTCCACAAAAATTTTAATTTAAGAAATGCAGACAGTCAAAAGACCCTTCATTTTAGATTCAGTTTTACATCTCGATATATAATTGAATGTAAATAAAACATCTGTCAATTTTAAGGAATCTGCAACTGTGCAAAGGACAGATCTTCCGACCTGGCTGCTCTGGGCTGTAAGGACTATACTCCATGCAGTAAGATTCAGTCGAGTTACTCCAGAAACACATTTATAAAGTTCAGATGTTTCATCAATGCAGTTCTCATCTAAGTACTTATTTTCAAAAACACAACTGAGATACTTCTTTTACTAAGGCTCATATATATTGGGGGAAATTATTTTGACATGATGTGATAAAATGTGAAAAATCAATGTGTCTCAGGCTCAAGTTTTTATAAAAACAAAAAGTTAACTGTTTTGAAATAGATTTGTTTCTTGTTGGCGTGAGGGCCATGCTGGCATCTGAATGAGCTGTTCCCCCGGCTCGGTTCCTGCACTCTCGAGCAGCACTTCACCTCACTTCGAGCACATCTATAAAAACGTATCACGTGCCTGTCACTGAGGCAAAAGTGATCACTTCAGGCACAACGAGAACGCACTGCTGGAAACAGATAAAAGGTAGAGAGTGCAGCAGCAGCTCCAGTCAATCCATTTCTAAGATGCACGTCTGCCAAACTGCAACATATGGAGGCTTATTTCCCGACAGCAGGTGTATACACGCCAACACTTAATCACTCCACGGCACCCACTTCTCTCTGAGCGCCAAGTTTACAAGCCTGCAGTTTTTAATTCGGTAGGTGACAAATATTCTGCATCACCAGTTAAAAACCTTTGGGGGAAACAGCGGAAGCTACAAATGTTTGATGAACACTTGATTCAAGGGTGAACAATGTATACGATGCACTTTTATCCAGTTTTTAATAAAAAAGATCAACAAAAAATCTTTACTGAGTTGTTATGGTACAAATACTTCCACAGCAATTTTGTTTGGTTCCACTATAAATTTTAAAATCAGGAAGTACTAAACCTACTAACTCTAAAATGGTATTTTTATTTCATGCAAGTATGTTAATCTATTATTCTTAATTTTGTCAGGATGTTACTTATCCTAATTCTAGTAACGATCATTTTTATCTTTGATTCTGAAGATACTGCATCAAAACAAATTGTAAAATTTGGTAAAGTTCAAAATCTCAGAAACTGTACTTAGTATCTAATATGTTGGATTCTATTTATACTCAATTTATCTCCCATTTTCAATTCAGTAGTCTAAGTTTTCTGTTCTACACAGAGTAACTCTGAAAGCTAAGCTATCTAACACCAAGCTCTTAGTTAAGTCTGCTTTTCATTTGATTTCACTTCCATTACAAAAAGGCTACTGAAGTACTAAAAGTCACACGTAACAGGACACCACCACCGAAGTAGGTAAGCTTGATGGAAGACAAAAGGAATCCTTCCCTCAGAGTAGAGCAATTCTCTCATTTCTATTCCTCAAGTTAAAAAAGGTATATGCGCATGTACAGGTGTGCGTGTGCAGGTGTGTGTGCACAGGTGTGTGTGTGTGCATGTTTGTGTGCAGTATGCACAGAAAGAGCCTCCACACCATCTGTCTGGTGTCTTCTATGGTCAAAGTGCAGAATCTTTAAAACACAGTATCTTCCTTCCAGAAAACTTCTAGTTTAAAAACTTGATTATGAAAAACAATTCTTAACAGACAACTAAATTCTTCATATCACAAGCATCAACTTAAAATCATTTCTATAACCCTGATATTATCTTGAAAACTGATGGTTAATTGATGACACTTAAGTTCTCAAAGAGCACTGGACTAAATAATAAAGGGTCTTAGTACTGCTAAAAATCCTTATTTTAAAATAAGACTTGCCCGGCTGGGCTTGGTCCGCGGTTGAGCATTGATGTAGGATCCAGGAGATTGAGGTTCAATTCCTGGTCAGGGCACATGCCCGAGTTGCGGGTTCAATCCCCAGTAGGGGGAGTGCAGGAGGCAGCCGACCTATGACTCTCTCATCATTAATGTTTTTATCTCTCTCCCTCTCCCTTCCTCTCTGAAATCAATAAAGACATATATATTAAAAAAAAAGCTTACTTTAAAAAAAGAAAATAAATATTCTAATATTAATTTATTTTCGACCTTCCACTGTCAACAATATGCAAGTTGGTTTCTTCAGCAAAAAAATGAATTTTTACATTATATTTTAAAATATTTAAACATTGCACCAAGTACTAATTGTGACTTACTCATACCTAACATTATGTAATTTTTATTATACACAAAAATTTAATTTTAAATGACAACCCATTTGATCAAAAAAAATTACAAAATAATTTTTATGCTCAGTGTTAATACTCTAGAAGATAAAAATACCACACTTTCGATACTTAGTTTATTTTGATCAAAATTGTAAGTAATGAAATTCTAATTCAAGTAAATAATTTGTCACCTCTTACTACACAGCATAATCCCATGTCACGTCACCTGGAATATTACTACTGTCTATTACCAAAACCCCCATGAAAACAGTGACAGCGCAACAGGATCTCTTTCCTGACTGAGCATACACCGTGTGCCTGGTACTGTGTTAAAGCACTTTACATGCATGATCTCACGTGACCAAAAATCACACTGGGAAACAGGAGAGTTTCTTGGTAGTGATAAGACCACTGATTTGGATATGGGCTCATCCACACTGAAAATAAAGCATCGTATAAGCAATTATATATTGACCAATAAAAGTACAAGTACTATGGAAATATTAACTGCAATTGGTCACAGACTTTAATCTCTCAACCATCTTGGACTATACAAAAACGGGCTCGCAAACCACCTGCTAGAACTATATCATGAGTAGGGAAGCAACAGTCAGAGTGGTGATGACCAAACTTCCCCAGAGCCACCCGTTTTCAGGTCCTCCATAGCACAGCACATGTCTAAGCAGAGAGTGCGATGCTCAAGATCAAGAAGTGAGGTGCTAACTTCAACATAAAATCAATGCAGGTGAAACTGCCAGGCACCATTCCCAGGTAACAGATAGTAGACCAGGTTACCACGCTCAATTCTCAAACACTAACATCAGGCTAGCAGAACCAAGGAAACACCCAGAGTGCACTCACTGATAAACATTTACTGAGAGTCTAGGCACTGAGACATGAGCTGCAGACACAACCAGGAGCAAAAACAAGCATTAGGTTGTTGAGATGACACTCCTTCCACAAAGAAAGCCACGGATCCAAGCTTCCAGTAAGCAGTAAGGAAAACTGTAATACCTGGGGCCATCAAGATCAGCACAGCGAATGCCGGGCACCGGCACCTGTGAACGGACAGGAAGCATGGACCTTTAGGAAGACACTTGCCTCTCGGCACCATAATATCCGCACCATAAGCAGTCCCTTTCCAATCGTCTACTTGTCATGCTCTTCCCACCAGGACACCGACTCCTGCTTTTCCTTCACCGTTTTGTTCCTGCTCCAACATCAGGCCTTCCTTCAATTTTACCTCAACAAGCCAGTCTGACTTCTACAAAAACTTCCAGTTTTAAGTTCTCATGGCACAATATACCTCTACACACTTTTAGATGTGACAGTCCCAATTTTATATGTGAGTGGCTGACTGATGTGTCTCTTCTCCAGGAGACTGTAAGTGATCAAAGAAACTTCAAAGCATTCGAGGTCACACTTCTCTAAGTGTTCTAGAAGAGCTGCTAAAACGACTCAGGTCATAAACAGCAAAAATTCAAAATGGGTCTGAAAATACTAAAAGTACTCCCAATTTGACCATTTTAGTCTTTGTCGTGGTTACTTCTGTAAATCGCACACCGTGAATGTGCTTCCACATGCCTCTTTTGCTAGTACACGCAGGACCAAAGTCTCCGACGAGGAAGCAGAGCCCACCATTCTCATACTCTTACTCAAGACCTGTCCTTGGCTTTGTGAAAAACTGTCCTGTAAAAGAATCACTATAAAAACTACCACAGATTTTCACTATTTGCACAGAAGCTCAGTAACGAAACCAATCGAACGGCATTTCAGGCGAGACAAAAGTAAAAACGACAAAAACCACGAAAGACTCTGATGGCTACCCAAAGAAAACAACTTCAGCTCCACAGTAACTCCCCTGGGGAATGGCGGGTAGGCAAGCTCTTTCCCCAAGAAAACATCAGTAACAAATGAATCTTGATGTCTTTTGAAAGAGCGTAAGGGATTTCATTTGAAAAAGCCTAAGATACTACGGCAAGAAACTCTCCAAGTTGACCTTGTGACCCTTGCTGTCTTTAAATCCTCTAACCAGGTAGCATCCCACCTACGTACAGTTAATCACAATAGCTTTACACACAACTCAGTTTTAAGAAAAAAATAATCTCCACACAGATCTATTGCACAACTGGTTATTACAGATGTTTCAACTAGAAAATACTGAAGAGTAAAGATTTCCTCCAACATCTGCTACTCACATAAAGTGGCTTGAAAAAGAGCAGCTCTGTGGCTGAAGGAACTTACCGTCACAGACTTCAGGGTCATGCCGTGGTAGGTGCCCATCGTGTCGATTTTGAAGCCTTCCGTTTCTACAAAAGAGAGTTTTGTATTAGATTTTATGTATTTCATGATCAATCACAAACCTAAAGTAATAAACCACGATATATCTTAACATGGTAACAGTATAACATAAAGCACACACTTGTGAAGATAAAACTTTATGAGGGTGCTAATCTCAAAAATACATTCAACAAACACCAATGAGCCCAGTGTGCAGAAGCTGGTTAAGACTCTCTCTACAAGTGTGTTCAAAGCTCATACACAGTTAGCTGGAAGTATCAAAAACCAGACTGAACAAAATTCTTTAAAATATAACCCCCAAATTATTTACACCCAACACTCAATTAGCGCACTACTAAAAGCATCTATTTATGGTGAGAAATCCTTAACATGTAGAAAAGTCATGTTCCTGAATTACAATGACAGGCACGATACACTGTAGAAAAGGCTGTCATAGGGATAAGGGTTCCAGGAGAGTCCCAATGTGCCTTCTGTAAACTGTCACATATTAACCATTCTACACAATGCAAGCCCTACAGCCTCGGTCACAACCACAAGTGAGAGAGACCTGTGGGCATGGTGAGGGTCAGAGCTTGTCTGTGGGTTGTAACCTGCCAAGCCCTGGTTTACATAATTCATCCACAAGAAAAACGCTGCAGTGAATAAAAGGATGGACCGCTGTCTACACCACGTATTTAGTGAATGCCTTTGTCCAGTAAAGGAAGTCAACGCACAAAATTCACTGCATCCAGATGATCTATCCTTTAGTGAAACTTGAGATTTCATATTATGCAGAAAAAAATGACATATGTTAAACTTCCACATGATACTACCTCATCTTTTCATGAACCAAGTCAAGATAAAGTAGTTTACATGACATCAATCCCACTTCACTAACCACCTCGCTAACAGGTAACTGATCCCTACAGCGGTAGCCAGCACACTACACGGGCTTTCGGGAAACATAGCCGTGCAAGGCGACTCCAATCCACACTTCCCAGTGCTCAGTGTACACAGTTATAATCGGGGGACATGGTCTGATGTGTAGAGCCTCCCTCTACGATAAACTTCTGAGAAGCAGAACTAAACACTAATAACAGCAAATATGATATATATAAATATAACATACATAATAGCTGATACACACCAGCCACTGATCCTCGGGATTTTATATTTAAGTAGTATGATCCCCACAATAACTCTGAAAGATAGGTACTGTACTTCTACTGCTATTAGTACTGTAATGTTACAAAGGAGGAAACAGACAGAATGCAGTTCAAATAACATCAAAATTCACAGAGTAACTGTGACACAGGCAATCTGGCTCCAGAATCCAGGCAGTTAACCAGGGTAGGCAAATGCGTTCTGTAAAAGCCCAGGTGGTATCTTTGGGCTTTGAGACCACAAAAACTCTGTCACAACTCAGTAGGGCGATAACAGCACCACGGGAACCATGAAAAGTACATAAATGAGTATGGCCCTGCCGCAGATTTGGCCTGCCAATCCCTGCTCTAACAAACGTCAAGCTCTCAAGTTGAGTTACAACCACAGGAAAAGAAAGCTAAAAATTAAGTAACTTACCTTCTTTTCCTTTGAACCTTTCCTGGTCATATCTGTTGTAGGCAGCTGGGATGGGCTGCTTGGTACGCAATGTGGGATCCTGTAAAAACATTAACCATGACTTAAATGTTAATATTCTAAGTTGTTACTTAATACTCATCATGAAAACCACAATAAGGGTATTGTTCTCTAAGCTTCTTTCTTGCTGTAGCCAATAAGACAAAAGTGAGAAGACAAAAGTGGGGAGCCGTGTCATGCTTGTTTTCAGATATTGTTCACTATTAGAAAATTACCTTCCCTGTTGGACAGGGGCAAAGGACAAGCAAACTCGCACTAAGGCAACAAGCAAAACGCTCAGACATTGCAGAAGCAAAACGGGTGTGCTCAGTGTTTTCACGCAATTACTTCAACTTCTTTATGAAATAAGATCCCTCCAATTATGAATTTTTCTCTAATACAAAAAATCTTTTAACTCAAAGTTTATTGAGCTGACATTTTAGAGCCTTTTAACTGAACTATTCTCCAAATTGTTAATCTTTAAATTAAAATAATGACAACTATGACAATAAACCCATTATAAATGTACAGGGTAAGACTAGTTAGTAGAGGTGTCTTTTTAATACTTAGAAAAAGTTGCCAACCTAATGATGGGTAATTTAATTCACAGTGGTCAGTGACTCTCCACTTAATTTAATACTTTACTTAAAACTCACAGTCTGTAATAATCGGAAAAAGCATATTTAAAGAATGTTCCCAAAATTTCTTGGGAAATTCATGACATTCAGGAAAACTAAAATAGTCTTAATTCTGTTACAATAAAATGCTATCCCAAGTATTAGTCCAAATAAAAGATACTTATTCAAGACTGTCACTAGGTATACATACTGGAGGATATGTCGGAGTTTAAATTTAGGTTCTGTCATATATATAATTTATTTTGGGAGGGTCCTAAGTGGCACCTTAACCAAAGAGGCAGGCAACAGCTAACCAGCTAAAACTAAGGCACAATGAAAGGACCAATTGCCCCGTGATCAGGAGAAACACAACACATTCACCATGAAGTCACGGCTACCAATGGTTTACACAGGAGCCCCCAGTGAACAGTGATGGGGACTTATACTTCTAACAGTGATTGGTGAGTCTCCTAAGCAACGAACAGTAGGCCAGCTACAGTTTACCCAGTGACTCAGAGGGCTTTTCCTAACTGACCCCTCTGAGATCCTGACCCCAGTATGAATTACTGCTGAAGTAACTTTTAATGGTGAGAAGGGTTTTCATATCCTTCGAGTATGTTGAAGCAGCAAAAGGTTTAGAACCCACTCACTGAAAAACTTTAAGATTAGATGTCTTCAAAATCACACTACTGGAGACTAGGGGTCCTTTTCAATAAAATCACTGGAAAAGCAGTGAATCCCTCTTACCACAGGTGCTGCATTTGGGGCTGGCCGCTGTTCAGGGGCACGTCCTTCTTCTCTGGCTTTCACAGACTGAAGAATCGCAAAAATATTCTTGGAAAAGTTCTAAAATATAGATGGATTTTAATTAAGCCCACTTAAAATTTAACATTCAAAGAGAGTAGGTTTACCCAGACTAGGTTTTCTATCAATTCTTCCCTTCTACTTCATGACAAGGGATTAGTGATTGCTACATACATGTAAAATGAACTACTGTATGGAAATTGATCCAAAGACCAATTATTATAAACCTAGTGTTACTCTTTTACTTTCACTTTATTTAAACTGTACAAATAGCTTTTATTTATTCATATTCTGCATCTATTCAAATATGTAACCAGGAAACAAGTTAACATTTAAATAAAACAGATTTGTTGTCAAGAGAGATTTAACTCTGAATCAACTACAACAACAATCCCCTTATCTGAGGGGGACATGTTCCAAGACCCCAGTGGATGTCTGAAACCGCAAATAGTGTAAAACCCTAATCATTTCTTCAACTCTGCCAGAAATGTGGCAGCAGCTTCCTCATCGGCCGGCATAGCTTCTCCAGGAATTTTTACATCTTTCACTCCAAACCTACTCCTGGGTCTGTGTAAGCATCCCTCTTGCAATACATGGCTTGAAGTCACTCGTTTCAGGGGATCCCTGGCTGAAGTCTTTGTATAAGCTCAACACTTTCTGGAGCAACCCATTGTTTTAAAAACTATTTTCCAAAATGCACAAAAAGTAATGACAAGAAAGAGTGGCACTACTTTAAATTTTGGCAAATCTCAACGTATGGCTTAACAGAAAATAGTTGCATTTTCATATCTACTTTCATATCTATTAACAAATATCACAGTTAATATTTGTTGTGATATCTTGTTTTGTTTTGGTCTAAGTATATGAAAGAAAATCCAGTTTCACATGGACAACTGGAAGAGGAGGAGCATTACAATGGCTTTTCAAATGACTGTGGACATTCTTTGATATCATGCCAAACACAATAAAAATCTCACCAATGACATATCAGTAGTGAGAGCACAATGGCCGGCTGCTAGCAGGGTTTGGAGCCAATGCCTTGTTCATGCCAAAAAGCCAGCAGTGAGCCAGCCACTCATCCCCACCAGCAGTGCAAAGGTCAACACAGTGACAGGTGCAAATGACGTCTTAATCTAATCCTATTATCTATCAAGTTATGAAAATATCCTATTAAGTGGTGAAAATCAATTCTCACCACTGTAAAAATACAGTATTGTGTGAGAGACACAACGTTTAGCAAAACCAATCAAATATCACCAGCTATTTTCCTATGGTAGAATTACAGGTGATTATCTTCCTGTAATAACCTCTTTATCAACTTTTCAGCAATGGACACAGACCAATTTATACACATTTAAAAATGTGTTTTTAATGGCATTATAAAATCAGCTGCTTTGTGAGGGGTGCCTGCAACAGTAATATAACTAAAAGAGGAGACTTATACTTTTTATGGAATCTTCAACCTTTTACTCTAAGAACTCAGAAACTAAGAAGGTCTGTCTAAAATTTTAGGGTCATTTAGGGCTACATGTACCTACAAGGTTTTTTAGAGTTTAGCAGGAAAAAAACAGTATACAGAGAAAATACCAGTCAAAATAGTTCTTATTTTTAAAAATGGTAATACAAAAGCAAACCTAGCTACCAAACAATTCTTAAACTAACCTATTTTTAAAATTATAAGTGGTAGCAACAACACAAAATTAAATGAGAACACTAAGTTTTCAAATGATGGTTCAATCCTGCCACCTAGAGCTCAATAAAAATTGTTCCTCTCAATTATTTGAAAACTTAATGTTTGGTCCAAGAGTAAAGTGGGTTGTTCCACCTCTGTTTATTCCATTACTATAAAATTCAGATTTTTCAACATTTATAATAAGCATTGGTAAAGCAATGTAAATCCCACTATTTAACTATGAGCCCCACATTAGGCAGTAAAAATGAGTATTAAACAGAGTTTTACTGTAAAGACAAAAACAGAAGTTTACTCACATTCTCAGATTTCTCTATAATCTAAGCTCTGGAGAATGGTTCTTAGTCCTGAGCTCAAGTACTTTGTACAACAAGTCAAAGCACAAAAACATTCTCTCCTTCACACACTCTTTTCTAGCAGCGTTATTCCTACTAAAATGGACAGTAAATCTGAGGCCAGAATCCAAAATCTGCAAATGAAACCCATGTAAAAGTTCACTTTTATCAATAATCTATCTCACACACTTCTACAACTTTCTTACCACATCATCACTATTAAAAACTGGGCATCAGTAAGAGAACTACTAACACTTAGGAGAAAACTGGGAGGTGGGGGAGGAAAAGACAGATAAAAATAATTAAGTGAAACAATGCAATCTTTCTGGAGAAACCATTAAGACAGGGACACATCCAGTGTCTTTCACAATTTAAAGTACACATCTCCTTTAACCAGCCATTTGCTGCTAGAGTTTAAATCTTTTGCAGTATAGACATAAATGCAGAGGTTTGTGTACAGGGATGTTTTTGATGCACTGCTTGTAATCGGGAACAGGAAGGGGAAAGGGAGAAGAGGAAGGAGGAAGAAAATACCACAATCCGGTAGCAAGAAACAAAACAAAAAAATGACTCATTAACAAGAACAAATAAATACTGCTACATCCACAAACCAGAATATAATGTATAAAATACATGCAATAAATGTTTGCTAAGTTCTCTGCTTTGTGGAGAAAAAATTAATGATATTAACAACCAAAGAGCTTGACTACTCCTGTTCACTGGGTTTAAGCAAAAACCTGATCAACAGGGAAAGTAGGCCCCCCCTTGGATTGACAAAGTAAATCCAAGAGCTGCACTTGGAGTCAAATTTTCTCATCAGCTTCTTTGGTGACCAACAACCAAGCACACGACAGGACACAATGCAAATATGGCCACTTAGAAATCTATGCTCTCCTGACCTTTCAGAGCAAATTCTAACCACTTCTGTAACCAATGACAGGTTAAATACTCACACTCACAGTTAACGAATGCGCCAAAGGTTTCGATTACCTTTCCTGTGCTCTGTAATATAGTTGTCCGTGTCCTCCACACTCTCTCTCTGCTGACAATATCTCGAGTCACATCTACCTCAGCGTCCACAAAACTCCTCTGTTTAAGGGCAGTTATATCATCATCTAAGTCAGTCTTGATGGTCGATCTTTTCTTAGCCATAATTTTGGCTTTGATCGCAGCAATTTTTTCCACTGACATAGCTTCAGACAAAGACCTGAAAACAATTTATTTTTCAAATTTTCACAGCAAGGATCTCTTGAGCACATCAAAATATACTGTTACCTTTATAAACTCACAGTAAAAATACTTTAAGTGGCAATAATTAAGATTTTCTTATCTATAAAGTTACATACTCATATTTCATGATCACGTAAGATTTTATAAAGAGCCCATGTAGAAATATTACTCTACAAGCAAATTAGTAATTTCTTAGAAGTGTCAATGCATCAGAAATCTTCACCTTTTTCATGTCTCCCCTTCCCCCAAATAGAAGAACTCATTAACATGGGTGGCTTTAATTTATATTTTTTCTGAGACTTTTATTTGCTTATGTCCCTCTACTTATGGAAATTATACACACACACACACACACACACACACACACACCCTCTACA